AATTAACAAATTTAATATTGTAATTAGCCGAGTTTAAAATCACTAATCAACTACCTTTTGATTTTTAAATTTAATTATCATGTCTCTTCCTAAAATAATTTTCAAGGTCCAAATCCAAATGAGTATAAGTATTTATTTATAAAAAGTAAGTAGATAAATAGTTTATAATCCTTTATAATATATAATATTTATAAAATATTAGGTAAAATGCCACTTTTACAGACATATTTGACAGTTATATAATATATTACAGTTAATTTAATATTTTAATAATAAATGCTTTTGATAATAAATATAAGTAATAATTTGCATTCAATTATTTAACGCCATCTATTTATTAAATATATTATTTAAATTCTTATTATTTATCCCACAATGGAAAATAGATATCTTTTCTTTTCTTTTTTGACGTGTTTTTAGGAAAGCTATTTTTTTCTTCTTTGAAAAACAGTTTTGAGTTAAATTTTTAATACGAATATATTTTTGATATTATTACAATCTACTATTATTTTAAGATATAATCTACCAACTAGAGTTGATGCGACAATAATATATAAAATCTTAATTATTAATCATATCACTCTGCTTCTTATTTTATAGTTACAAAATGTTTCATTTCTAATATGGCATCCTTGCCATGTAAATAACTAAAAACTTCAATATACTTGCATAATTTCTTCTAAATATTTTTAATGTTTTTGTTTTATCAATTTATCTAACTAACATAATAAATTCTGATATGGGTTACCATCGTGAGTGTCATGGCTATGACTTCACCAGCATCTATTATTTGTGTGGCTATGTAATTTAAAATTATTACTATAGCTGCTAAGAGCATATGATTGCATATTTAAGTAATAATGGTCAACTGTGTAGTCGTATATATATCATTAAAAATGGTAGATAATCTTTTAGAAATTTAATATCTCACAAAAACTTTCTCGATTATTTATCTAGCTTCCATCATGTCATCTAAGAATAAGCTCTAGCCACCATATAGTTTTATGATTTGGATTGGTCATTTATATTCTCTCTTCAAGAATTGTTAATTTGGTTAGGCCTATAAATTTTTCTTTATTAGTTCACTCTATAAAACATAATCTAAAATGGTAACGGATAGTTTATATTAGTTTCATGACCTTTTATCAATGTAACTTGCTAGAATTATATAGATCAATTGAGGCATATGTATGAATTAATTAACCTTTTTTATCACTTGTAATTCATTTAGAGACCTTCATGGGCCTAGATTTTAGGACCAAGCCCGGCCCAGGTCCATCGTAAAAAAAATTTTAAGCCCAGCCCGGCCCGGCCCGTTTTTAAGATTTAAAAAAATTCCCAAGCCCGCTATAATATTTAAAAAATTTCCCAAGCCCGGCCCAAGCCCATAAAATTATTTTATGTATACTTAACTTATGCTGAAGTAATACTAATAGAAATATAATATTTTATTTAGTAATAATATATATATATAATATTAATAGAAGATATAAACAAAATTTTAATTTATATTTTCAAATTATCATTTAAAAATAATATATTATCTACAATTTCGTTATTTAAATTTGTTCTTCTTTCTTCAATAACCCTTCCAATAGTACTGAAATTCCGTTAACTGGAAACATTAGATGCTGTAATTGCATGAATATTTTTGGCTAATCTTGCCAATTTTGGCAAGATTTTTTCATGCTTCTTCCACCAATCTAGGATGCAGTCATCATAGTTGATATCCTCTTCATTTGGCTGAATATCCATATATAAATTAATCTCATCAGCATCCGTCTCATTATGAAGTATTGTATCATCCTCCCATTAAGACATATCCAATAATGAGGATGAAGCTAAAAATATTATATAGCTAAAAGATTTATAAAGAATAAATTACTGGTAACTCTAGTAATCCTCGAAGTTTGGCCATCTTTGGGAACATTTTTGGGAAAATTCCCTGATTTTCGCTTTTTCTTTTTTCGCTGTTTCGTGCCCAGGCCGTTGTGCTAAGTTAAGTAAAATTATATCAATTTCCGATTTAAAAAAATATATACTCTCCCAAAGTGTATAAGAAATTTGATAAATAAAACTAATAAAATTAGAATGATTTGTAATATTTGTCCTATTAAATATCCTTAAAATAAGTTAAATTTAAATTTAAAAATTTAGGCAAGCCCTATTGCAAAAATTTCCAACGAACCCAAGCCCGGCCCAGGCACGCTAGAAAATTTATATGGGCTGTGGGTAGTGGGCCGGCCCGGCCCATGAAGGTCTCTAAATTCATTACACAAAATTTTTTATATATTTGCAATCGAAAATATTTTATACTGTAATAATAATAAATAGATTTTGTATTAAAAAATATTATTTTTAGAAATGTCTTTTATTGTTTTAATTATTTATATGCTAGTTTATTTTGTATGCAAAATATTATAAATGACAAAATATGAAATTCAGAATAATTGTCTAGAGTTAGCATATTTTAAAAATGTATAATTATTAATATAAAACCCGGCCGAAGGCCGGACAAAAGTCTGGGGGGTATGGGGGCTTTTTAGCTGAGTCCCCTGAGATTGTAAAGGCTAGCGACGCCCCTGGGGTTTAAGCTACAATTTATTATAATAGACAAAATAGAAAAACATATAAATATATTTTATTAATTAAATAAATCACTTTATATTATTATTTAGAATTCATCTCAATATGTATTTCTATATACATAAACAATTTAATTTTTACTAATTCTAACGCAAATTTTGATTTTAGGTCAACCTCCATGGTTGGGCAGTAACGCGAATACTTGTATATAAAATACTAAATAAGAATGCATTTTTGAATTTGTATTTAGTATCTGTTTGATATTTAGAAAGAATTTAGTATTTTTATTTTATATATTAAAAAATAAAAATATTTTGTATATTACTAATCTCACAATTTTCAAACGAATGTAAATGCAAATATTTTTTTTTAATTATAAATTGAATTATAAAATAAAAATCCATATTTATTAATTTAAATAGTAAATTTGTTACCAGAGTTAGCAAAAATATTAACATCTTTCATTTTAAGTACTATTTTATTTTTAAATATTACCGAAACAAATATTAAAGTTTTTTTGGAGATAATTAAGATATAGTAGTAGAAGAAAAGAAGTTTCTATATTAAGCTATTATAAATTTCACAATTTTGGATCTTTTTCGAATATCATCCGAAATTGACAATTAATTAAAAATTTAATATCTGCTAATCAATACAAAAATCATAAATGGAGCGATTTCATACTCTAGCAAGAATACTTATTTATATTTATATTGGGACTTTTTAAAAATTTGTCTAACCCTGCCAACCTCCCATTTGGTATAATTAAATTGATGACAACTCAGGACTATGTAAACTATTTATTAGACAGACCTGGTTTTCGTTTTTTTAATAATTGGGCCCCATTAGCATTTTTATTGCGCATACTAATATATTATTACTATATAAGAATTAAATATTTACAAGTCATTGATTAATAAGGAGCCTGTTTCACATATAACATAAATAAAATTTATAAGAATAGATAACTTTAATTCTTTCGATAGATATTAATTAGAAAGGTTTCGGTTTACCTGCGCAAATGGGCATAGTGAAGTTAAATAATATATATTAAATTTTGATCATTTAGGATGAATCGTATTCAATGGATATGACTATTTGTTGCATGTGCGCTATTATATATTTAAATACTTAAATAATTTATATTTAAAGTTCAGTGAAATTTATTTGTATATTTCAAGGCAACAAAATATATATATAAATTAATATATATTTTCATTTTGTGATCACTTGTTTTTCTTTCATGTAAATAACTTGTTGCTTTCTTATTTTTAAAATAAATTATAACATATTGGGAATTCCTCCGTAATTTATTTTAATACAATCACCTATTCTATTCGTATTCATTATAATATTCATTACTATTTAAATCTTATTAATATATCTGATATCTCTATATGGAACAAAACACATTTCAGCACTAATTTCACTTGAACTCACTTGTAAATCTATTAAATTTTAATTCATCACACTTTGGATAAGCGAAAACTTAGAATCTGCATATAATTTTTTCCCTAACTTTTAAAAATATTTAATTTATCAATATAATATTACTTTGATTTTGGTTAAATTAACTTAATTTTTGCATTACTAACATTAGGAAAACTATCTTATTACTTAATATTTCTTAACTTATTTTCTTTTAGCCTATTTGCATTTCTTCCGTTGAAGCCATTGCAGTTCTTTTTTCCCTTGTATTTTAAATATATCTTAAGCTATGTATCTTTAAAACATTAGTTTAAATCTGATGTGTAAATTTCTGCAACACATATGGAATACTATCCTATAAATTTGAAATAAGTTAAAATTAGTTATTTTATATGGTATTTTATCATAAATATTTCTCTTAGTTCATATAGGGAATGTTATGGCTAGGTTGTAATTAAAAAAAATTTTATTTTACTATTTCAAAATTTTATCTTTAATTATATCATTTAACATAAGGATGGACAAAGTTTAATAGCTGTATCACCCATATTCTACTTTAACAATAAATTATCCGTTGCACCAATATTTACTATATTTTCTGAAATTTTTAAGATAGGTTTAATATGTATATCTTTTTCACTTGATCCACTTCTATGAATTTTTTATATTATATTTTATTCATAAATGTAATTTTCCTTGAATATTATTACTGCTCTTTTATTTCAAATCAACTTTATCGTAAGCCTTATAACCCTTAATCAATTATATATATTAGATTACTAGATTGGCAATTCTAGCGCCATTTTTTGGTTTGCACTACGACTAATTATCTTTATAATTAAATGAATGAACATTAATCCTATATATAGATATTTTTAATGCTAGTGATAAGAGCGCCAAATCCTTTCTTAAACTATGTCCAAATTTTATCAAATTTAATAAAACTCTATTATTTTATAATATATTATCACGTGATCAAGTCCGATCTACTATATATATATATATTGTCCCTCAAGTATGGAACCACCAAGTTAACTTTAGAAAAAATATGACCCTTGCTCGATTCGAACTCAGATCCATCGGATTCGTAATCAAAGTCCTCCTCACTGACAAGGTCACAAACAGTATACAAAAACATCAATTTTTTTTATTATTTATATAAAAAATAAACATATGACGTTCCTGAGAGGTGGTAATTTATGAAATTGTAAAAAAACAGTGCACGCTTGGCCTGCATTATCATCCGATTCTTAAACGCATTTAATGAATTTATTGGTAGTATATATATACATCACTGCCATTAACTTGTTAATAAATTAATTATTTTTTATTAGCATTAGCTATTCTTGAGAATTATATTTTAACAAAAGCATTTTACCCTAAAGTAATTTGTGCAATTCTCATCATTGTTCTCAGCCTATAGACGTATTTGAACCACAGTATCCCCAAACGCCATTTTTATGGAAATCGTTAAGTTATATCCACTATTAGCTAGCAAAACGTTTTTATCGCAAATTTTCTTTCATAAGGTATCGATATTATCAAACTACCTGTAGCATGACTAGGGAAAGGCATGCAGGCGCTCGAGCCTCCTGAAAATTTGAAGAAACCCAAAAATTTTTAATTTTTTTATACCACACGCAATTTTGATATTAAAAAAAGGTAATTTTGGATAATTTTAACTAAAAAAAGAGGTCAAATTTTAGCATAATAATAGATGCTAAATTGGAAAATAATCAAAATTAAAATAAAATATTTCTAAAATTTTAGCACTCCTAATTTTTTTTACTAAAACTAGTATTTGAATTTTTTTTAATAAATATAGAAAAATACTATTTAATTTAGAGCAGGTCTCATCTTAAATATATCACATATCATCTGACAGATCAATCTTCTTATTTTAACAGGAATGTGGTGTATTTATTTGTAACCCGCAAAATTTTGAAATATCGAACAAAGATTCTAAGAAAATAATGTCAACCCAGGCTCTAGAAAATCTTAAATATCATGAGTTAAGAAAAATTGCTAAAGAAATTGGTATAACTTCTAGGATTAAGGTCTATATTCAATTTTATATGGTTTTTTACATATATTTATTAGAAAGAAGATCTGAAATTAAAATTAACTCAAACATATGAACTTAAATTAAAATCAAATTCTAAACGGACGAAAGTAACTTATTGGCACTTAATTAACAAAACCTATTTATATTTTGTGATTAACTCATTTAAATTTATTTCTTATGATGATTTTGAACAGTTGAGCTTTTCTGACAATAATTAATGATGCAGACTTGATTTAAAATATATTTGAAATTGAGTGCTTCATATTATTTTCGATATTTGTTGATATTTAGTCCAGGCTAAACTGCTTTTGAACTAGGACACCCTATTTTGGCAGGGCACTAAAATATGTGCCCCCGTAAACTACACGCCCTCTATCAAGGAAGCTTAATTTAAATTATATTAATTCAGAATCGTATTTAGCTTCATAAGATGAGTTAGAAAATGTTTTTTGATTTAAAAAAAATGGCAACATAGTAAAATTTAAAAAAAAAATTAGTCAAAAAAGAAAAATCAAGTGTTTTTTAAAATCTCAATAAGTTATGAATAATTTATAAACTTAATATTAACATTTTTTGATTTCTTTTAATAAGTTATATATGATTCTGCATTCATTTTTTATATATTAAGCTTCTTTGATAGGGGGCACGTAGTTTAGTCATGTAAAAAAATAATTTTTTAAAAATTTTACTATTTTTTTTAAATAAAAAAACATTTTCTAACTCATTTTATGAAGCTAAATACTATTCTGTAATACTATAATTTAAATTAAGCTTCTTTGATAGGGGGTACATAGTTTTTTGGGGTGCATGTTTTAGTCATGCCCATTTTGGTGTGCTTTAAATTGTATAAGATCATCTTTTTTTAAGGTAGACTTAATAGCCATCAAACTGTCAATTATTATTGAATAGGTCTTAATTTGTTCATAATTTTTTTTTAGATCTAGGTAAAAATTGAATAATGAATAATATATTTTAATAGAATAAAAATCTTATATTTAATAATAAGAAATAAAAACAGCATATGATATATATTTTTGTAATAAAGTTAATTTCATGCTTAAATATACATAAATATGTTTATTTTATTTTAATATAAAAGTGTCTACAATATCACATCCTATTATAATTTTAAAATAACTCACCTAGTCCACTACTATTGATGTCTGCCTATTAATCATAGGTCTCTGTTTCAAATCTTGTTATGCAAAAAAAAATATTAATGAATTTGGTATAAAATATTAAAATTCACAAATATACTTTACCGATGTGACACATGCATGTCCATCCTGATTGTTACTTTTCCCCAATTATTTTTTCTTGATAATGTACATAATTTTTATTTATATATTCTTTTCTTGATAATATACTTAATTTTGTTATTGTAAATTGAAAAAGATAAAAAATATTAAGCATAACATCAACTTAATGGCGATAATATTAAGCATAACATCAACTTAATGGCAACACCAAATATATAAAAAACAAAAATTGAGCATTGCTAAATATTATAAAAAGATTGTAAATTTATAGTTCATATTATAAATTTTATTGTCTGCTTACTATTTATAATTTATCATCTGCTTTATTAGTAAGTTAAAATTTTGTTTATAATAACTAATAAACTCAATTTCTTTAACATTAATCTCAATAACACATTTTTTAATAGCTTATAATAGAAGAAATAACTTTCACAGAACCATTACCAATATATATGTATGTTCTAGCAACTTTCTCAAATCTTATTTATACCGGACAGAATTTAATTAAGGACAATATTACAAACTTGATTTTAAGTTTATCTAAAGTTCTGGACAATGAAGTCTTGCTATTGTATAGGCTACCATTTTATGCATGGAACTTTCAGTTGATTATCTATTAACTCTCTTACCCTTTCTGAAAATCTAGTCCCTGCACATGAATTCCATATTTTGTACAGTTTTCCATCACTGATCTTTCTAATAAGTTTGATATTGTGGAAAATATACATTTTGTAGCAAAAAGAATAAAGTGAGGCAGGCACACCTGATTTGCCTAGGTTATCCATATTGTTTATTTATTTAAAGTTCAATAAAAAAATTGAAAAAAAATATTACTAACTACAATTAATTTTACTAAATTTATACTCTAACAAAAAATTTAAATTTTGGTCAAATGAACTTAGATCTATTTTTTTTAAATTGGCAAAATATATCCAATGCAAAGTTGTAAATATAGATTATTATTTTTTATTTAAAAATACATTCAAGAAACCAGCAAAAAATAATTTTAAAGCAAAGTCAAAAATTATTTATGGACAAGGTAAACATAATATGGTTGATACGAGACAACCCGGAAGGAAAAAATGGCGAAAGACTGATGACACTGAAGGGGGTTTAACGAACGATGGAAGTGATATATCTTTATCGCGGTTGTCTACTAAGTTAGATATTGATGACACATTGAATTCAACTTTCGAAATTTCACCAGGAGAATCCTCTATATTTGCACCCACGAACAGAACGAATCGATCTACTAGGGGGGAAATAAAAAATATATTTGGGCACTCAATATATTTTCAATCAACGTCAACACCTTCGCAGAAGTCAACCAAATACGGTAAACAAAAGGTTAAAAATGTGGATAGCCATCTTATTTGTGAAGACTTAAGCATGACAACATCGATGCGTATGACTAGGTCGAGGATAAATAATTTGAATAATAAAGAAAATATTCTTCCCTCGAATTGTGATAATAATTCACAGGTTTTTCATAAAACGGTTGGAGAAATGTCTGCAAAAGAAACAACGAATGATTTTCCATCCTATATAAAACCGCGCAAAAAGCCGGCAACTATGGCGGAAAAAATAGATTATGAAAGTAATGTTTCGATATCTGTTGATGAAAATACTAGTCGACTGATAAAATCAGCTGATACGCCAACAAAGGTTTGTTCATCTGGTAGGGTATTCAAAAAAGCGCTAGAAAATATGGCCGAACTTAAAAGTTAGCTTTTCTTTCGAAATGCACAAATGAATAAGATATACTTATATAAAAAATGTCGTAAGATATTGAGTAATTCGTAATATAAAGGAATCTTTAATAAATTATTCATAGGTAATAGTAGCTACCCCATGGATTTCTCGAAATTTTACGCTAAAATTATCTGAAATTCGTGGGAAAGTTTACTCTTACTATACAAAAGCTGAAATATAATTAACAGCCAAAATCAAGGCTTTAAAATTTTTTTAAAGGAACGAGTTATAAATGATAAAAAAAATTTTGAATTCCACACCCTAGGGCAATACCAGACTACATTGATCAAAGATCTGCATGGCATAAATCTTAGTCCCCAGGGTGGGCTAAAAATATAGGGCTTGGTTGGGCAACTTGTGTAAAATATTTAAATTTACATTTTAAAAAACACGACACGAACAATATTTTGCACAAGTTATCCAACCCAATCCGGGTTTTCCTTATCAGAAAATAATTCGGATTTAAAAATGTTAAGATTCAGGATGGGCTGATCCTTAACTCTTAATTTCTACATATATACCTACAACGTTCATCAATTTCAAAATTATATTTAATTGTTTTTTTTATTATAGAGGAAAAGATTTCAAACAAAATAGCTCTGAATCAACATTCAAAGAGTCTAAAGTCAAAAAGTAATCAGCAAACACTTAAAAATGGGGATAAAGCGTCTACAAAAATGTGTAAGAAAATCTTATTTACTATTTCAAATTTGTACCCCCCCCCCTTCTATTCTTGAAAATACTGAATTTATAACGAAGTGACATTTTTAGTGGGGAAAAAACTAGAAAGATTAAATTCGAGTTTTGGATTGAATTTTACGAAGACTTGAAGAGATCGTTTTAGGAAATTTATATCATTCTTATAAATGTACAGATTTGCCGGAATTTGAAAAAAGTTTAATGAATTAATAAATTTATTTGATTTTTTATAAAAAAAAGATAAGCGAAGGTCAATGATAACACAATGTTTAAAATTCACCCTTGAAAAAACCTTTCTTTTATAGTGCCATAAATATAATTTTAATCTGATTTTAAGAATCCTTTCAATTTCAAACATATAATCAGTATGGTAATCGAACGAAGATCCCCAAATTAGTAAAATAACAGCAATAATCCCCCTCCCCTGAATATATTTATTCCTGATAAAATCCGAAAATTTGTACTATCATTTTTTATATTAAGTTGTTGTTACACAAAAAAATCATAATTTTTCAAATATGAAGGTAAATTGTTATACAGATTATTTTGGATAATTTTATCTCTTTTTTCCTTATCTCTGGGAATTTTATACAGAGATTTTTGTCTGGAGATCAATTAATACAGAAGAAGAATAAAACTCACAAAATAAATTAAAGAAGTTTATTGTTCAATGAAAAGAATTAATACAATAAACCTTGAGGAAATTTTTTTTCTAAAAAAGAAACAGAATATAAAACAAAAATATGTAACTCTTTTAAACCAGTACGAATATTTTTATATTAGGTCAGTTCGTGTAAGAGAAATAACAAATCTTAGAAGCTTAATTAAGCTTTTTTTTAAATTCAAATGTAAGTCTTTAATATTTATATTGATCTAAAATATTAACGATTTTATTTTAGTTAAAAATCATTATATATTCGATAAAATGACAATAAAAATACAACAAAATTTATTAAAATTAGATACAGACAAAATTACCGAAATACACCAGAAAGTATTTGATAAAATGGAGAATATACAAGAATATCAGAATCGAAAAGATGCCAAAGTGAACAGATATATGACGATATGGGGAAAGGACAAAATGTTAAATGTAAATAATATAATAAAATTTCCAAATATTTCTATTTGTTAATTCCATTTCATTATTTCTATCGAACTTAATAGTATAGGGCCTAGTGCTGTTAAAAAGTTTGATTTGAGTCGATTTTTCAAAACGGTCCGATTACAATTTTAGCTAAAATAATATTATATATGCATTGAGATTTGGCAAATTAATGTCCAATCATTTCTGCCAGCTATGAGCAAAATTTTAACCTTATATAATGTTATTTTGATTATAATCTTAATCGGGCCGTTTTTTAAAATATACTCGAATCGGGTTCTTAAACAACACTAATAGAGTCCCACATTGAAACAATTCTCTTCTCTTTATATCTTAAAATGATTTATTAATTTTATTTATTATATTTCCCATTTTACTATATTTTAATGATATTGATTAACATAAATATGATGAGAAAGTGCTTTTAATTCAATACATTAGGCTAGCTGTAATTTAACAATGCTTATTATAAAAAAAAATTCACTTTAAAGGATAAAAATAAGATAAATCGCAAAACATTTTCCTACTAGGCTTATTTTTTTTTAGAGATAATTTTTAAAAAAAATTAAATTGTGTCTCCGAGATATTTAAGTCATTCTATCAAATTGTTAATGATTTATTATGATTTGTTATCCAAATATTAATGATTTGTTATCGTTCTCCTTATTTTTAATCATAGGATTAAAATTGTTAATTTTTCTTAATATTTTTATAACAGAGAAATACACCGAAGAAAGGCTTAGGGGCTAACTCACAAAATGCCAACTACTTATTTAAGGGTACAGGTTTATATGTTATTTCTCAAATAAAATTCGTAGAAAAATAATTGCATTTGACATTAATCCCTAAAATTATTTAATTTATTATATATTTAGATATTCCTAAGATGGATCCTAATTTCAAATTCATGCCTTTAAATAGTATCGAACAAGCCAAACCACCTTCTAATAAGAAAACGGTTAGACAATAAAATAAAATTATATTCCTTATTATATAATAACTGTCCCTTTATTAAATAGAAAAAAATATACTTCTCGAACGTTTATTATCTATAAGATATTTTTATAATTCAGCTGTGTAGTAGTGTCCTATATCTACATTTTGCAAAATATTTTTTTTTCCCTAGTAAATCTCAAAATTAACGATTGAGATATGATTTCCAATAATCCTTTATTTGCATTTCCTATCTAAAATGCAAGAATCATTTTATTTTTAAAAATGCTTCTGGTAAAATTTTGAAAAATGGATATAGAAACATATAATACTCAGTCAACAATATAACGTTCTTTAAATTTTTTTATTATATAATCAGAGAAATATATCCAAAAGAATCACACAATTAATCAGAAATCCAACGATAAACAATTTACCTAAAGGTGCTTAATTAATTTTAAATAAATTATGCTTTAAAATATAATATATATAAATCAAATTAAGATCCTCCCAGAATGAATCAAAATTGTAAGTTCGCACCTTTCGGCAAGATTATTTCATCCATTTCCAATTTGCAAACTTTTAAAAAAGTATAAATTTGAAAATCAAAATATATGTTATAATTTTTTTTTAAAAATAATTATCATTTGGTACAAATAATATTTATTAAAATACGCATTTTTATTTATTAGAACTAATTTTTTTTCGGTCATCTAATATGCTCAATCATCAAAACCAATTTGATATTCAAATACAATTCTAATTTTTTACGTATATTGTATTCTCTTCGTCTCACTTATTTCCATAGAAGGCAAAATTCCATTGAAGTGTTACTTTTTACTCACCCCTTCCTACATCTAACCCTATCCACAGAGACCTTCGTGAGTCGGGCCAGTCCACAGCCTCATATTTCTAGCAGGCCTTGATGACTGGACCTGGGTTTTCGAAAATAAAATTTAATGGGCCAGGCTTGGGCTTAAAATTTTGGTTCCCATACTCGTTAAAATTAAAATGGTCTGCCATAAATATTTCCAAATATTTCAGAAGCTTCAACAAATAAAATAAATATTGAAATAATATAATACTAATAGGGCTCTGCCGATCCACAAACACCGATCTGATATTTGTATTAATTTTTATTTACCATCTATTTTTGTATCAATGTCATAAAAATATGAATATTTTCTATTTTAAAAAAAACCCATAACCATCATTAACGATTAAGTGTATTTTATTTTTTCTCCAAAAGTTAATAATCTCATTTAAAATATTTGCAATGTGTATCGATGAATGTGGTGTTGCTAAACATCTCCAGTTATCCTATATTTAAAAAGGATTAAATCAAAATTTTAACCAATATATTATTGTCTAAGCCTCGAAATATCATCAATAGAAGTACAAACCTTTCTGCCGTTTATGGGAAAAATCAATAAGCTTGTAATTTACTCTTGGTCAAAATCTTGAGTTAACCATTTTTAAAATTGACTAAATAGAGCCGTTTTGAACACTAGTTGAATATGACTTGTTAGATATTTTAAAATCCATTCTTTGTTACAGATAGTATAACAAAAAATAGCATTAAGTATTAAACTATTTTTAAACATTACAAGTTCCTTTCATTATTTAATTTATTATTAAAAAATTGTTTAAAATAAAAGCAATAAAAATATCTAAAAATATTGGTCCGATTTGATATATTTTTGAAAACGCTATATTTAATATCGGCACAGCCCTAAATACTAATAAAATATAATTACAAAAAAATACAAATTTAAGCGAACTACATCAGTTGTAATGGTAGTCTATTAAAGAGCTATCCTAGACTCTTTCTACTTCTTTTTTTCTCACTTTATATCCCCCACTCTTTATTGTTGTTTTTTCAATTTTTGTAATATTTTTTTATATCACATTTTAATGTAGATTATAATTGTGCTCAAATATATTATAATATATAATTTAATCAAAACTTTGTTTAACTTGCTTCCTATATTTGCAATGATGTTACTGAATGCTTATAGTTCTTATAAATATCAGATTATCTAATATTTTATTTTTTAAGGTTTCTAATGATTAATTTGGATATGTTAATCGCTTATCTTACAATTATTTTTATTTTTACTCTTTTATTACTTGTATAAATATCTAAGTTCCTAATATTTTATTATTTTTGAAGGAATGATTAATAAGGATATATTAGTCCAGTTATCTTATTAGGAACTTATTAAATATATTTTTTATTGTAATTATTGCTTTGTAGAATGGATATTAGTAGTAGGGAATAAGAATTTTAATTAACAGGCTAACAACAGTTTTATTATTATATAAAATTAATTAAATTTTAAATATAATGTAAAAATAACTGTAACAAATGTAATTTTTTCAAGAGCTTTATATATAAAAAAAATTTTTTTTTTAAAGTTAATATAGTACATATAACACTTATTACTCCTATAAATATCTGAGTTCCTAATATTTTATTATTTTTATAGGTTTCTAATGATTATTAAGGATATGTTAATCACTCATTTTCCACCTGAATATTTTTATAAATAATTTTTACTTATTACTCTTATAAATATCTAATGCCTAATATTTTTCTTTTTTGTTTAAAATTATATTCTAATTTATTAGCCTTTGATATTATCTTAGTTTATTAGGAATATCATAGATTTATATAAAACTATATCACAATTTTAAAATAATACTTTGAAAGTTAAAAGTAAAACATATATACGTAATTTAAAAATATCATGTAAACTATTTGTAAATTAAAATCTATATAAAAACCATATAATAATATAGTAAATTGTATGTTGGGTGGGAGGAGGTCAAGAAAGAGAGCCGTATATTATTTTAATAAATCTTAACGTTTATTTTGTTTAACCTTTTCAGAATATTTTTAAATTTTATATTCTAATTACATTTTATTATCTAATTTAGAAAAATAAAAATAAAGTAATTTTATCAGAGACCTGCAGAGGTGTCATTTACACAGCCCTTTTTTCAAAAAAAGTTATAGCCTGGCACTGATTTTTTAAAAAATATATTATTTTTAATTTTTATAACTAAATATGGCGATTTAAAATATTCAAAATATACCACCTATTTCGGCTTGAGTATCTTTTTAAAAAAAATTTTTGGCCAGACCTAGGTATATTCAAAAAAATTAAAATATGGCTCGGCCCGTGTAGCCATGCTTCGTGCCAGGCCTGCAGGCCTTTGTATTTTATATTATCCGACTAAATAAATATAATAATATTTCACATAAGAAAAACAAATGTAATTATTTAATATTTATGTATATTGTTAAAATATAACGTAATTATGTTAAAATTTTTCAAAATTATAATTTAATCAGAATTGACAGAATATATATACCTAAATTAAATATTGAAAAATATTAGAATGATTTAATAAATTATTTCAAGTTTTATACCTTGTCCATATACTAGTTTCATCAAGCTACATAAAGTCCATATACTCCATAAAACGAAGTAGAGATGGATTGTCAGTTGCCATTGAATATCAAGATAAACGAACTTTGGCCATATGCTCCTCTTTGCAAAATGGTAAAGTTGTCATCCGCCTAACACAACTAAATGAACATTGGAATTGTTTAGATAGTCTCTCACTAAACTCAAGATTTGTCATTTTCCCCATATTGGGAATAATGAAAGAAACATTTAAATATTTTAAATTAAAATATACATAAATTATAATTTAACCTTATCACCATATTTAGAAATAAAAATCTAATCGCAGATATGGCTGCCATCTCAAATTTGTCCTATTGTAGGATTGAAATTTATATTCTAACTAATTTTGGGGCTGCAACCCTATACACGTCTTAATTTGTATTTTTAAATTTGTATGTCAAAGGTTGATTTATTTGCATTTTAATTTAAAATATTTAGGATGTTTCATATATTTCCAGGCTTTGGCGGAAATGTCCAGCCTTGGATTAGAGTGACTACTTAAACGATTCCAATGTTCATTTTGTTATTAAGTGGATGACTGCTTTACCATTTTTGCAAAGAGGAGCATATGGCCTCAGTTTGTTAGTTTGTTTTCAATGGAAAATGACAATCCATCTCTACTTCGTTTTATGGGTATATGGACTTCGGCTTGGTGCCACAGCTTTATTCCCTCATACTATGAACAAGGTATAAAAACTGAAATAATTATATTCAATCATTCAAATATTATCCAATATTTAATTTTGATATCGAATAGAAGGGTCCTGCACCAAACCATATATGCCTTTAAGTGAGAAACAACTAGTGCACATTCTAATATGTATATCCTAATTAAAATTTGGTTGAAATTCAAATGATGTAAATTATAAGGATTCATAATGGGTCTATTGTGGTACGAAAAAATAATTATGAAAGATTAAATAATAAAATAGATAATCTATAGATGTAATTATATTTTTAGATAGAGTCTCATTTTTTAATCTTCCAAAGTGTATTCTCTCAACTCTTCTGATTAAATTATAATAAGAATTTATATTATAATTACACTCTATTTTTACAATAATATTGAATTATACACAAATGCATAATTACTTTTGCTTTTTTTCGGGAACGTCAAGTCAACCAAAAAAAATGGACTTTCAACCCGACCCCCATTTTTTAAAAAATTTGCAATATTTACTATAACTAAGGAAAAACCATTTTAGCATGAATCAAAAATAAAATAAGATTAATTTATTATTAAGTTCATACAACATAGCTAATTTTATAAATACATATACTAGAGATCAGCAAGGCCCATTTCGTGTGGACCTGGCAACATGTGTAAAATATTTTTGGGCTATGCTAAAACATTACATGCTGGGTCGAAAACTTTTTAAAAGTCTTCACGGACCAGACTAAGTTGATATTTTTAAAACACACATTTGAAACTTTATTTTTTTTAAAAGTCTGTCAAACCTTCCTTTAATGAAAACGGAAAAGACACAATTGCATCTTCAAGCCAGATAGTACCTCAAAGATCCAATAATAGTATATTTAATTATTTTAATGTTTTTTCTATTAGCCTTTTATAAAATATGAAACTTCATAATACAATAAATGTAAAATGTCTAAAGTTTTAAGTAGTTATTTTAGAGGACTATATCAAACTCATATCTGCCAGTCATCTATTTTATCCTATATTTTAAAAAATGGATAAATCCTTTAATGGAATAAATAAATAAAATATTAATCAACATGATATCGTGGGACCAGAATTTAAGTAAGATATCTGCACTATGAGAAATGAGGGGATGGACTTTGTCTAAAAACTTCGGTACAAAAATTTGAAGAATATATGGCTTTAGTTTTTATAAATTCATAGTAATTTTTACAAATACAAATCAGGTAATATATTTTAAAAACTTGGTTACACTTTTTGACTTGAAATTTTATAATTTGTTCAGATTCAATCTATTCAAAGTGCACTATCTGCATGATTTAATAAATATATTAGTATTAATGTAATAATAAATATAACCTACCAATTCAGATAATAAAAAATGATTCAATTCTCTAATAAGAATAAATAAAAAATGTCTTTCTAGTTCACTAAATTTGAATTGAACATTAAATATAAGAATTTAGTCGTTAGTTTAAAATAATTATCGCATAACCTAAATAACACTTTGGTTATTAAGTGGGCCAATTTCGTTGAATTTTAAAGTTAATTGTAGGGATTAGCTTGTAAAACCAGACGATAGTGATTTTATTTAAAGGTAGTACTGAGAATATATTGATGTCGCAAATATGATGATACAATTTCAATTTTTAAAGTTAAATAACATTTCTTAAAAATAAAAAAGTCAAAATCTAAATATTATCAATATTATTGAAATTTATATAGTAATTTTATTTTTCTTGTTAATGTGAAAGTTAATTGTATGTAAATTAAAATAACCGTCTCCTGTTAAATAAAAATTAAATCATCCAATTAACAAAACAAATTAAATATAATATTATAAAATTACGAAGCATATTACAACATTAATTAATTAATTAAAATTTATTGCACCTTTATGGTACTGAATTGAGTACGAACCAGTGTTGTTAAAGTCCCGCTACATTTTTCAGTAGTGGTAGCTTTAGCATGTTACTTTGTAAAAAATAACGGTATCTTTGATACTAATTTAAAAAGTATCAAAGTAGCATGCTACATCCTTACTTTCAATTTTATATAATAAATACACATAAAAATAATTAAAATATATTTATAATTAATTCTAAGATAATAATATTTTTATTTAATTTTGAAATTTAAAATGTCGACCATGGGGATTGATATGGGAGATAATATTGGTATAGATCATACCGATAAGGTATTTCCCTGAGATGATAATATGGAATTTCCTGAATCTCGATAAAAAAAAATAACACAGCGTATAAATTTCTTTGTAAGATGTGCCGAAAGGTTTTTTTATCATACAAAACTAGTAGTTTCAATTAGGATAAAAGTGATATAAAACAAATTTACAATGTGCACAATCCTTAATCCTCAAAATAAAATTTAAAACTGTATCTATAATAGTCTTTGAACTAGAGGATTTATTTTAAAATTTTTTGACCCAGTTCAAACATGGTATGTTTAAACTGGCCATAAGATATTATTCAAGAATTTTATTAAAAATTATAATAAATAATTATTATTAACATTTTATTTTATCATATTCATCTATTTAATGATAGTATTTTATAAATTATTATCTGGATGTTAAACATGCTTATTTATAAATTTTATGAAAACATGCTAAAAAAATATTTATTCCGATAAAAAGATAAAGGGTGGTAGCCTGGCCATTTGTCAAATATGACCATCCACTTATCCCCTACATAATTTTTATTCTAACTATTACTATTGTAATTTTAGACTAACCCTAGCCAGATCAAAATGTCACCTTCTTATAGATGATATTTTTGAAATAATAATTATAAAACTATTGAAAATCGTTTAACGCATTTTTCTAAAGCTAAAAATACTCAAATATTTTTGATGATTTTTCTTATATAAAAAATATATATATTAAATTTAATACTGCACTGCCCTCAAGTGCTAGTGTTGAAATATTATTTAGTTATAGCTTATAATTTCTGATTTTCACTCTAGACTTGGGGATGAGAGTATGTAAATGATATTATTATTGAGATGCAATAAAAAATAAATTATATATATTTGAAATTTTAATCAGAATTTTTATTTGTGGAAATAGAGATACGTAAAAAATATTTTAAAAACAATTATAAAGTAGTCTAAAAAGTAGTAGCTACTTTTTTTTAAAGTAAGCTATTTTTTAAAAATATTTTTAAAGAATTTTATTTCGAATCGAATATTCGATGAATCGCACTAATAGGAATAGGTTTTTTCTAATTAATTTTCGAATATCCACACATTTCCTAAATCTTTTCTAAGAACATCCCATCAAATGGATCTTCTTGATTCTATTTCTCCTTGCTTTGTTTATATATCTGTAAAATCTTAAACTAAATATTAATGGCCATAAGGTTATGAATCTATTGGCAATTATCTCATCTCCCAACATGCAATTTAGTTAATTAAGGATGTCTTCTACTCATATTTAAAATAAAACAAGGAGTGATTTTATTTTCCAATCCCCGCTACCTGAAAGGGTAATACTGCTGCATTAGCTCGGTCTCATCTTGGTTGATAATTTTGAATAAAGCATTCTATTCGGAAAAGCTAAACATCACATTCTATTCCGGTAGTCTATTTGGAAATTTTAAAATAACTACAGACTAGGACACTTCGTCATCTAGAGCTGATCATTTTTAAATATAACTTCGTATTCCATAATTTTCCAAAGTTCCGTTCCCGTAACATGTCCTCATTATTCCGTCCTTGTTCGCTGTTGATTATTTAAAATTACATAAATATTGTCACTTGAATTTAGCATTTTTATATCAACCTAAAACACCCTTTAACGTTCAAATTCTTGACAACATTCATACGCTTAAAAAAATTTAAATTGATTAATTTTTCTCGATTGAATCTTTTTTTATTATAAACCTTTTTTAAACATTTATTCTTATTTTATTAGGCCTATTGTCTCGAATACCAGAGGGCTCGGTTCTTAAAAAAAGATTAGCCTACGATCCCAAATCCAGCCAATCAAAACCAACTTATAAAATTTACGAAGGTTAGTCTTAAATTATTTTTACGAATCTTAAACATTTACTCATTTTATTATCGAGTTTTTCGGCAAAATTAGATGTGTTAAAAACATTTTAAAAAACACCTTGTTCCGATTTCTCAGCTTACCAGTCAATAATTATGGGTTGTCTTGAAAAATTATTCCCTCTAAATAGGGCAATATGCTCAAAGATGAACCAATCGAAAGACTAGTGTAGATATTATTTTGATGAGGAAAATATTTCACAAAATAACCCTTATTAACTATTAAAGTAGTACACTTCTTCAATTTAATATATTGTAAGTTTCAAAATAATAAATTACAAGGTTATTTTAAGTATTTATTAAGAAACAAGCAAAAAAAATAAACGATTGTTTTTCCATTTTTCTCATCGCTATAATATAAATGGGATAATTCTCTATATCAAATGGCACATATTTCTTAGATTCGAATCAATGTGTAGTGGGATACCTGATTTATACACAATTCTTTGTATATTATTTTATTTGAAGGTCGAATAAAACCATTGACCAAATCTCCGCTCAAATCTTGTAAACATGCAAGCAATATCGCTATGAGAATTAAAACTTCCGCTAACGTATTTAAGAGTCGGAACAAGTCGAGACACCCTGCGAACGATAACGATAAACTTAAAAAAAATTATCTCAAAAATATAGGAACCATGTTTGGAATGTAATTGAAATTTGTATATATACAAAGTTGTAACTGGAGTCTCTTTCTTTTTTCTCTCTCTAAATTAATTTAATTTTATAAATACTGTTTATTTTTAAAAAAGAAAAAAAACCATGAATGCCTACTTTTTAAAGAAACTTATTTATTTATTTTTCATATATTATATTTATTATTAAATATGTGTCCAAAAAATTTTTTGGGAATTATTTTACAATGCGATATTATATGTATATAATCGTTATTTTTAATTCCTTAACAATACGTTTTTTTAATAAGCATTAATAATTAATAAACCTACGATGTGACTGATATATTATTAAATAAAATTATTTAAATGTTGTGTGCGCGATTCCTCCAATTTTTACTTATTTCATAAATTGTCTTGTATCCCTTTTTTTTATATTTAGCTTATAACTGTTTTTTGTAATTAGCTAAATTTATAACTGAATTTAGATATTTAATTTAAGCACTAAATATTGGCGAAAGAAAACCAAATGTTTATTGCTTGTTTTTGTTTTGGCGTCGCCATTAGTTGTTTATTTTTTAACAATCAACTTTTTATTCTTAATTACGGCTTTAAAAAGTGATTGAAGCACTAAGTTCTACTGATGAAGAACTAAAGAATTATATTTGTTTCATCGTTAGTTCATTCAATCAACTTTTAAGCGTGAAGTTGGCCAAAAATTTTATTTTTGCTTGTAACTTTTTTCTTTAATTTCGGCTACTCTATATCGATTGAAGTACTAAAAAAATGGCATACGATTCATCGTTAATGTTTTCAATCGTTTGGCCAGTCACTGAGCAGTAAATCGAACTCTATCACACTATTCCATTAATATATATCAGAGACTTGCAGAAAGGCCCAGCCTAGATTTTTTTCTGCTCAGCCCGGGTTTTATATTATTAGGCGCCAGGATTTTTTAAAAATATTTTATTATTAGGGCTAATAATGGAGATTTAAAATAATTGGTTATACCCCGACCCCGATATATTTTTTAAAAATATTCTCATGCCCGGCCTAGCTTGGGTATATTATTAAATATTTAACTGGCTGGGCCTGTAGGTCTCAAAACAAACAATTAGAGTTAAACATAAAAGTGAAATTTTTTTAGAAAAGAATCGGTGCAGCCAATAACCTCAAAGGAAGGTGGTATTGTTGTTAAAATTTTATTTAATTATGAATGTTTAGGACAAGTTTGATTGTTGATCAAATATTTTAAATAAGATGGATTAGTTTGCATTAATGCTTGGCATCTGTTAAATATAGGAATTAATAAAGTTATAAAAGTATCCAAGTCTAAGATACTATATCCGATATCTTTTATCTATCGAATGGTGTAAGCAATGCACTTGAAATCAATATAAATTTCAATATCCATTTTTAAAAACTGGAGTTTATTCTCTATTTTTAATACAAATTTAGAAAAATATTTAAATTGATTATTTAAATCGAATAATTCACTATTCGTTAATAATATTCATTTTTTGTCTTCATAATTAAATTCTTGTAATCCTTTTACTGCTGGCGCCCCAGACACGAATAATAAATTCAATCTCCTAATTAATTTTTATATAGATTTTTGTTTAATAAAAATTTATTAATATGAAATTTGATAACCTAAAATGTTTGTTATTCATGGGATAGTTACTCTACATATGCTGGAATGCATTTAAGATTAAATCACATTTTCCAACTTTAAAAATCGCCCTCAATAAATAAAAAATTGAGAGATTTCCGTACCCATATATTTCATTATCCCAATATGGCATATATACTTAGAGGTCTGCAAAGTAATTTTTTTCGCAACCTGAGCCCAAATTTAAAAAACATATTTATCCGAGCCTGAGCACACATTTTTTAGTCCGAACCGAGCCTGAATAAAATTTTACAACTTGAGTTTGAATATTATAATAATCAAAAAAAATATATGTATTTATTCATCGCCGCCTTAAATAAAAGTTTATATGATGGGGTCTGTGGGGGGGGGGGGATAATAAAAATTTTTAAGAAATATTATTGATTTTTTAAATATCAAGCATAAATTTATTGTAATAATTGCATTTTGTATGTTATATATTTAAAATGTAAAATTAAATCTTCGTTGTGATTGAGTTAATTTTTCAATTATCTCATCCTTGCTTGTCGTTAAATGCCTATGAATATTCAAAAGATCCAAACCTTTCAATCTACTTTCAGATGTTGTACTTCTTGGTATGTTTTTCAGAGACCTGCAGGCCCGGCTCCCGGACCGGACAGTATTTTAATTTTTTAAAATTAACCCGGGCTGGGCCCGAAATTTTTTTAAAAAAACACCCAATCCGGGCTGTATTTTTTAAAACAGCCTATTTTTGAAATCGTTATTATTAGCTATAAAAATCAAAAATAAATATAATTTATTTTTAAAAAATCCGGGGCGGGCCTGAAAATTTTATTTTAAAAAACCGGGCCGGGCCTGAAAATTTTTTTAAAAAAACATAGGCCGGGCCGTAAAAAATCTTTAAAAAAATCTGGGCCGTGCTCTGCAAATGGTACTTCTGCAGGCCTCTATTATTCTTCTCAAAAAAGAGAATGTTCTCTCATTAGTTTACTATATACTCTTCTACTGTACCTATATTAATGTTTTAACGATGAGCTTGCCTTGCTACAAGTTGAGGGAGACAAATATTAAACACGTATAGCTCTGCTTTTAACTCAACAATAAAATATGAAATTCTTCATCAACATTAGCCCTAATTTCTTAGAGTTATGATAAAATGCTATCCGCTATTCTCATCTTTTTAATGAAGGCAATGTCATGTTTTTGATTACTTAAAATAGTTGTATAATTAAATAATACATTCTAATGAGAAATAAAATTTGGAATAAGCATTGAATCCAATAATTTTATTGCTTCTGAGAAAATATTTCTTTCAGGCATTGTGATATTTCAGTAATAGCAAATAATTGGCTCTTCTAACTCCTTAAAAGCTGTCACTGCTTGATGGCAGAGACTCTATCTCGTTGGACAAGGTTGCAATTTCTCTTTCCCTGTTGGACAAGAAGTTTCAGAAATAATTAGTATTTGACTAGAAATTTGAAAATGGTAGATAAATATTACGCCACTAAAAATTTGAAAATAATAAGAAAATATTACGCCGAAAAACTTGAAATCTAAATTAATTGATAAAATAACTTAGTAGATAAATATGATAATAAATGTAATTAAATATATATTTAATATGAGATACGAATAAATATTAATAAATATAAATTAATATAAACAATAATATTTTTAAAAAATATATGCGGCATCTACATTTTTTGGCTTGACCCAACTGCGTACGCCAATGCCATAATCTAATCAAGATATATATATATTAAGTTGCAATTAATTTGTAAAAAATATAAAAAATTTAAAATACAATCGAATCTAAAAATTATAAATAATTTTCATATATTATCGACCCTTTTTCATTATGCGTTTAATTTCGGAAATAATTTATTGCGAATCAGCAGTATCTATTAAATTTCTAGAAATTGTCGTAGGATTTGGAATGATGTTTTTAACATCAATATTTCTATAAATTGAGCCGATTTTGGCAAAATATTGTCAACAAAGCCTTCCCCATGAATTGCATCAAATCCACAAAACATGGTGAGCACCTTTGTACACACTTTTTTTTAATTTGGCACAACTTATAAGTTTTTTGGGATCAATATCAAAAAGGCTATCAATTGTTAATTGAGTGTTTTTGCTCTCTATTGTAAATAGCATTATTCCTTTTTAGTTGATTTATGCCTAAAATAATTAAATATTATAAATTTTATGTATGTTGTTATAGAATTATAAGCATATATTTGCAAAAATTTCAACTTACTAATTAAGTTTTTCTTTGTTTTCATCACATATAAATGAAAACTTTTCTCAGACCTCAAATTTGCCATTGGCATTTTCCCATACTTCATATTCATTGCTCTTAATCTTTTCACCAATTTTTTTTCAATTTGGCATCCATTGAAATAATTTTTTTAATTATGAAGCTATTTAATTAAATAGATATTAGTAAAATATATTTTATTTAACTTGATAGAATATGATGAAAGTAAAGTATATAATAATATCGTTAACTATGCGATGCAATGTACTTCGGATAGGTAAACAAAATTGCCTAATTTATGCTAGGCTCACAAAAATTATTATATTTTGATTAAATTTTATTCGAATATTTCCTTTTTTTTAAATATTCTTCCGTTGATTTCACTTTGATGAATAGGTAATGCTAATGTAATAAATAATAATAAATTTATTTAAATTGATATCACTGTGTGACAAATTTTGACTTGATTTTTAGGGAGAAAATAAAATAAACATGTTTTAAGACAGTTTTTTAAGCATTTTCTAAATCAGCTGTCAGATTTTTTCTAGCACGTCAGGTTTTTTATTTATTATAGGTTAAAGTGGCCAAAAAGGTCATTTTAGCACTTTTGAAGGTTTATAACTTCGGTTCTAATGATCCCTACAACTAAAAAATTATCTTAATTTTTGCAGCAAACCTTCCTTATTATTATTATACATTTTTTTTTATAAAATCCTTACTCAATTTTTAAACAACCTATATTTTTTAAATTTACCTTTATAAAATCCTTTTTAATATAGCTTACATTTAATATATTTATTTATTGTGGCTTTCGTTCTCTTCGCTACACTGCACACGGTACGATTCCCAAACAATTTATTTTAAATGAAATAGTTATATTTCTCATATTTAAATAAATATATTATGCTAAGCTAACCTATCTCATTTTTACTTTCGTCAGGATTGCGATCATTTTGAGATCGCAGCATATCTTAAATTCGTAAATGGAATAATTTATTTTTGACAATAAAATTTCATATTTTCATATGATTCATTTAACTAATTGAAATAGGCGATGGGAATTGATGGCTTAGAATTTCCGTTATGAAGCAAAACTGTTTTCAAGCTGTTTTTGCTTGAATCGATGAACAAGCGCCATTCATCGGGCACTAATTCAATATTAAGTTGTAAAAAAAGTTGACCTAGATTTTTGGAATAGTATAAAAAATTTTCGTAAGAGAATAAATTTTTAAACGATGCTCCACGGAATCGGTATGAAGTTCGAACTCCATTTTTTTAAATTTTAAAATCAT